CCATAAAGTATCTAATATAGGAATAAAACCACTTGAAAAAAATATCAAGGCGATAACAAATTTTCCTATACCTGGAAAAATCAAAGACGTGCGAGCATTTGTAGGACTCACCAGCTACTATAGAAAATATATCAAAAATTATGCAAAAATTGCTGGCCCTTTAACCGACCTGACAAAGAAAGATAGTAAATTTCATTGGGACAAATCTCAAGATCAAGCTTTTAATATATTAAAAAATGCTATCATAACTGCACCAGTACTTGCACACTTTGAGGACGAATACCCCGTTTTTGTGACCACAGATGCATCCTTTGAAGGACTATCGGGAATACTAGAACAGAGTGATAACAACGGAAAGCGACATCCTATAGCTTACGCGTCCAGAAAACTAAAGGGCGGCGAAAAAAATTTTACTACCACAGAATTAGAAATGTCAGCAGTTGTGTTTGCGGTAAATTATTTCAAGGAATACTTATTAGGCAGAAAAGTTACAGTATTTAGCGACCATTCAAGTTTACAATATTACCAAACAATGAAAAACCCGTCATCTCGCATAACAAAATTTATTTTCAAATTACTAGAATTTGATTTAGAAATAAAACATCGTCCAGGCCTTTGTAACCAAGCGGCTGATTGCCTGTCTCGTTACCCGGTAGACACATTGCTAGCCAAAGACATTCTAGAAGAAAATAACAAAGAGGACCTACATTTTGATTCTATAAATTTGGAAAGATTAAAGCTAAATCAATCAACAGACGAATTTTGCAAAGGTATAATTTCCGCAATAAACGGAATGATCCTAAATTTAAAAGAAAATCAAGACAGTTTTTAATCAAAGACAATATCTTATTCTTTAAAGACTGGTCACCTAACGGAATAAAAGATTTATTAGTAATACCAAAAACATTAATTAACGTAATTTTAAAGTCATACCATGAATCAGCGTTATCAGCACATTTCGGTATCACAAAAACGTTAGCGAAATTAAAGAAAAAATATTATTGGCCAACAATAATACAAGATACAAACAAATTTATAAAGACTTGTGTTTCATGTCAACTTTCTAAAAATCCTCATGGAAAAAAACCTGGCTTGCTACAATCAATACCATTAATTGATACAAAACCTATTTCAAGGCTCTGTTTTGATTACTTAGGACCATTACCTATATCTCAAGGGAAAAGATACTTAATTGTAGCGACATGTAACGCTACTAAAATGGTTTTTTCTAAAGCAGTTAAGAACGCAGATGCAGCGTCAACAATAAACTTTCTCTTAGACATCATTACTACTTATGGTACACCAAAGTATTTCGTAAGCGATAGAGGGACACATTTTAAAAATGTTGAAGTCCAAAGAATATGTGAAAAATTAGGTATAACTCAAATTTTTTCGACATCTTATCACCCTCAAAGCAATGGTATGACAGAACTAATGAATAAGATTATTTGCAACTGTTTAACTCATTATGTCAACAACAATCAGAAAAATTGGGCACTTTATTACAAGATGGTAGTGTTTGCATATAATACTTATCCACATGCAAGATTAGGACACTCGCCATTTTTTCTAATGTTCGGAACTGAAGCAAACCAACCAATAGACAACAAAATTTACCCTCTTGACACAACATACAATAGATTAGAAGCAATAGAACAATTACAAAAAATAAGGGAAGAATTACCCAAATTAATAAAGACAGAACAAGATAAACAAAAATCATATTACGACAAAAGTCATAAAACAGTAAGTTACTCACCAGGGCAAATGGTACTTATAGACATCAAATCCCAAAAATATGGGGAAATAAAGAAATTAGCTCATAAATTCCAAGGCCCTTTTAAAATCATAGAAAAGATATCTGACGTTAACTATAAAATAGCCTTAACCTTAAGAGGGAAACCAACAGTAGACATTATTCATGTAAACAGAATAAAGCCTTATCATGAGAGACCAACTTGATGATAACAAATAATTCTTAATATAAATATCAAGGTAGCATATTACTATTGTATACAATTTCATTTAGGATTATATTAAATAATATTATAATATAATTATAAGTATACATTACATGGTTAAAATAATGACCATAAAACACAAATAATTGAAATAAGTTAATTAATACTAATTGTTATTAGTTTTAGCCAGATTCAAAAAGAAAATAAATAAATAAATAAATAAAAACAATAGTAAAAGAAAAATAATAAATAAATAAATAAATACAATAATAATAAAAAAAAAAAAAAAATAATATGACAACCTTATGCTGTTTTAGATGTTCATGTTAAAACTATTTTTCTTAATTCAAATATTGGCATATGGAATAACGGAGGAAATTATGGATATAACTGTTTCGTCGGGTGCATTTTTCGACGAAGTACAGGATGCAGTTATGTACGACAAAAGCATACCCTTAATATATACTCAAGAAATTAAAGATGACGGAGAAACAACTAACAATGTCTTTCAAATACAAAAATACTGTTCAGACAAAGATTCAAATTAATGTAAAATAACTCAACAAATTTTAACCCTACTGAAAACCATAAATGAAAATATAAATGAAAATTACTTCGATATGTCGGATAGGTTATTAAACAACTTTAACGAGAATAAACGATCTAAAAGGGGAATACAATTATTGGGCAATTTATACCATTTCTGTTGTAATGTTGCCACTGAAAAACAATTAAAACAATTTTATACAAACGAAGAGTTATTAAATACACATGTTGGGACGTGGTAAGCAAGGATAAATAAATAAGAAAACCGTAATTATTCGTACATAATAATGTGTGGACTGTATTCTAAGATTATAAAAAAACTATTTAGAAAATATATAATTTTGTGAACGGCACGGAGGACGCGTTGCGCACTTCGTAGTGTGCTTTCCGTGGTTTTCAAGCGACTGACGACGACTAGGTAAATCGATAACGCGTCGATCACGACTTCGTAGATCGTCGCGGCAATATGATTGATAATGAAATATATTTATAGTAAGTTACACACTACTAGGTACGCAACATGCCGCCCGCCTTGAAACATTGATTTCAAAATAATAAAATAAAATATGTGCAAAAAAAAAAAATTTTTTTTAAGTTGAATTGATATTAAAGACAGGAATAACTCAATTCTACTTTACGTTTACAAATACATAATCTAAATAAAAAAAAAAAACAATATTACAATTTTACAAGAAATACATTTCGTAATAATTAATATACATAGATTCTAAATTTAACAATACAATTTTAAGCATACCGACAAATTTTTCAAATAACTAATCTATATTATTTCCCTTAAATGGCAAAGGACATAATGTTCGAACTGCCCGTGTAAACTGTCCCGTCGACGTGCGGACTTCAGCGACTCGCACCACCCCGTCACTGCCAGCAGTAATTTTTATAACTCGACCTAAACGCCATTTTAACGGAGGGATGTTATCTTCTCGTATTAATACTACAGTACCCACTTCTAGTTTAGGTCCCTTGGCACCAGCCCACCTCTTTCTCTCTTGGAGCTGATTCAAGTACTCACGACTCCATTTTTGCCAAATAGTTCGCGAATATTGTGTTACTTTTCGCCATCGCGTCAAGCGACTTATCGGTATATTTGACAAGTCGGGTTCTGGTATAGATAAGAGTGAATCGCCTATAAGGAAATGACCTGGGGTCAAAAAGGATATGTCATTTGGGTCACATGACATAGGAGTAATAGGTCGGGAATTTAGGCAGGGTTCAGCGCGCGTAAGCACAGTACTAAGTTCCTCAAAATACAAGTGAGCGTTCCCTACAGTTTTCTGTAGTAAATGCTTCATCGACTTGACGGCTGCCTCCCATAATCCTCCAAAGTGCGGCGACCGCGGGGGTATGAATCGCCATTGGACACCAACGTCTGCTAAAGCTTCTTGTACCTTTTTTTTATGTTGTTCTGAGTTAAATAGATCGCTCCATTCCTTCATTTTACGATTTGCCCCGACAAAATTAGTCGCGTTATCGGTAAAAATAGTTGTACTTCTTCCTCGTCGATCAAAAAATCGATTTAATGCGTTAATAAATGCTGTTGTACTCAAATCTCCGACTAGTTCGATGTGTACTGCCTTCGTTGAAAAACAAACAAAAATACATACATACCCTTTTACTAACGGAGCATTTCGGCGCATACTTGTCTTAATCATAAAAGGACCCGCATAATCAATACCACAACGTAAAAATGCGCGCGTCGGTTCTACTCGTTCCATGGGTAAATTACCCATAATCGGCTGCACGACTACCGGTTTATAACGAAAACATGTTACGCATTCGTGTATTGTACTTCTGGCTAAATTTCGTCCGTTTAATGGCCAGTATCTCGATCGTACCGAACATAGTGTTGCATGCGGACCGCCGTGCATGCATCGCTCATGTTCGTACTTAAATATTAATCGTGTAAAATGACACTTCGCCGGCAACACGATTGGATAACGTTGTTGTACGTCTAACGTAGTGGCATTTTTCAGTCTTCCCCCTACACGTAAAACATTATGTTCGTCTAAAAACGGACATAGTTGAAACAACTTGCTTGATACAGCTATTTTATTCAAATTGGTCAAATCTCTAATTTCTTGTGAAAATGCTTCCTTCTGTATACATTTTATTATTGATGTTCGTGCCCTATTTACTTCTTCCACACTAAGTACGCCGTCGAGTTTTTAATTTTTACGCAAACTATTATAACCGAAACGTAAACAGTATGCTACGATACGTGTTAATTTATTTACGCACGAAAACCGGTTTATCAATGACGGATATTGCGGCATTACGTCGACGGCAGATAAGGTCACTGACCGAGCTTCGGGTATTTCTATATTTAAACTTTTTTCGTTTTTATTTGATTTGGGCCAATCTTTTTCGTCTTTTATTAACCAATCGGGACCGTACCACCACAACGGCATGTCGGTTAATTTTGACGGACAACAACCTCTAGAAATAATGTCCGCTGGATTGTCTTTCGTGTCAACATGAGCCCAATCGGCTACGGATGTTTTTTCTTGTATTTCTCCCACTCTATGGGCAACAAACGTACGCCACTTTGTCGACTGAGACGATATCCACGCTAGCACTATGTTTGAATCGGACCAAAAATAATTAATTTTTGGTGATGCCTAATTGCATTTTTGGAATGACTCTGTTTGCTAATCTTGCTAATAGTACCGCGGCGCATAAGGCCCTCCTCACACGGGGATACTCAAAAGAAACTGCAATCACCTAGATACTAGGAGACTAGGCGACTAGGCAACTACAGTTGCCGGTTATCTTCACACACAGTATACTAAATTTTTGTTTCTAGTTTTTTAAGCTAGTGTCGCCCTACTATTTCGACAGTACAGTTCAGTTTTTTGTATTACATGTGTACACTGATATTTATACAGTAAATAAATTAAGATAAATACATTTTTTATAATGTCTAGTAGTGATTCGAGTAGCGATGAAGAAATTATTCTTTATCATTACTATAAACACCACTTAAACAAACGCAGAAGAAAATATTGGATCAATCCTTATATTGAAAAAAATGTTAACTGCAGACTATTTGTTGCTGCTAAGGAATTACAGGAAAGTGACTCCCGATTTCTTGCATTCTACAGAATGAAAAAAGAAACTTACCTTCAATTAAAAGAAATTATTTGTCCTGCTCTTCATTACACAGACACTAATATGAGGGAATGTGTGTGCCCGGAAGAAAGACTATTGATAACACTAAGGTAAGAATAATATTTAAATTATGTATTTATTGTATATATTGCCTTTAAATACAATTTTATTATTTAATATAATGAGTAATGTTTAATAATATATTTTAAAATTAATATTAATAGTATATTTTATATTATATTACTGTGTTATTCTATATTATCGGTGGTCAAAGCATCACGGACGACTTGGTAGTATAAGCTTTCTGAGTCGTTATGCTGTATCTCTTCTACTGACATTGGGTTGTTGAAGGTAGAATTACTCTGAGGAGAATGGTCTGTACTTGTACTAGTTAGTGGTGAATGTGATGACATAAGAGAGCTTGTTTGTGTGTGTTGATAAGTTGGTGGTAGAGAGAGTTGTAGATATGGAGCAGGATTCATTATATCATCAATAAGCTGCAGAACTCTACGCCTAAATGAACTCATTTGTGCGTTTGTCATGGGTTCAATCTCGGGTAGCAAACTCAGAAGAAACATTTTTTTTTGTTGGTTGCACTCATTAGGAGTTGTTTCTATTTTTTTTTTTTTCATATTTAAGTATTCCATAAAGGATTTGTCCACATCAGTATTTGCTCGCTTCTGAAATTTTCCTTTCCTCGGAGTTATAGGTATTTTATATGTGTCACTTAAAGATTTTTCATTAGAAACATTGTCTTGTTGTTCTTGTTGACATGATGGTAGTTGGGTAGGACAGTTTGGTGGTGACAGATCGTTATCTACATGTGATAGTTGAAAATCTTCATTTTCTTCGTCATTGTATATTTCATTTTGGGTCTGATGTTCAGAATCTTGTGCTAGCTCAGTTGGACTTTGTTGAGGGCAATCAGATAAATTTCCAACTGGCGTACCCAATGCTCTTATGAATGGAAGCGCAAATTGCATGTATTCTGTTAAATAATATGGTTTTTTACTTTTGGAACTGGAACCACTGGCAGGGGGTTTCATATGACGGACAAATACGGAACGGAGGTTCTTCCATTTTTCTTTACACTCGTTTACTATAAAATATCAATAATAATTAATATTTAAATAATACAAAGTCTAAAATAATTGACGTCGAGTTTTAATTATTAATTTAATAAAAAATGTCTGTTTACAAATTATATCCCAACAAAAATACTCCGTCAACGCATTTAAGGTTCGAATTTTAACAAAATACCTAACCTTACCCGCCCTTTTTTTTTTACTTAGCTTGCGTCGCTGGATGATAAGAATTAAAATGTAATAAATTGTTTACAGGTACTTAGCAACAGGGTCTACTTTTGTATCGCTTGCATTATACTTTGCTAGAGGAGAAAGTACAGTTATATACATAATACGTGAAATGACAAAATTGATCTGGGAATTATTAAAAGATTCTTATATGCCTACACCAACTGAAGAAAACTGGAAATTAATAGCTCAACGTTTCTATTCACTCTGGAATTTACCAAACTGTTTGGGTGCATTGGACGGTAAACACATACGAATCGAAAAATTACCAGGCAGTGGATCAAGTAATTTCAATTATAAAATGTATCATTCGATAGTATTATTGGCATGTAGTGATGCAGACGGTTTTTTCACTACTATCGAAACTGGCTATGCTGGTAGAAATAGTGATGGCGGAATATTTCGAGCATCAACAATTAAGAAGTGGATTACAACTGGAAGATTAAATATACCATTCCCTTCAAAATTAATAGATGATTTAAATGATTATAATTTTCCTTTCTACTTTGTCGGTGACGAAGCCTTTCCATTGACACCATATTTGTTGCGACCATACCCACAGAGAACTCTTGATAATGTCAAAAGAATTTTTAACTATAGACTAAGCCGAGGTAGGAAAACTGTGGAATGCGCTTTTGGAATGATGACCGAAAAGTTTCAAGTTTTAAGCAGTGCAATTCGCACCCGTAATACAGAAAGAGTGACTGATATTATAAAATCTGTGTGCATTCTCCACAATTTCATTCGCAAAAAAGAAGGAGTTAAATATACACCATATGAACAAGTTGAAAACATTCAAGATAGCATCGATAGTACAACGGTATTACCAATTCAAGATCTTGTGTTACGTGATCGTGCTTCCGCTCACGAAGTTAGAAATTATTTGGCAAATTATTTTCTCACTCCCCGAGCCTCTGTTCCATGGCAGTGGAATTATTGTGTTTAAACTTTAAACTATAAAGAATTATCTGTTTTAAGTATTAAGAAGATATTGTGTTGAATATTTAAATTAATATTTTTCTGTTTAATAATAAACAAAAATATTTGAAATGGTTTTTTTTATTATTAGAGTTATTTTTTGTGTTTACACTTGAAAGAAAGAATATTATTTAGAATATAGTTAGTACAGTATGTGTACATATAGTGCAGTTATCTAATGTAGACGCGTATTTATAAATTAATCAATAGAAAATCCAATATTATTCGTCGATAACTTATTGATGTTCGTTATCATGGGTTATTTACGGTCAACAGTAGGTATTTGTACAGACGTAAATATGACTTTAATGAGCAAAGATAGAATTATAATAATTATTATTATTATCGTAGAATATGCAACATTTATGCAACTATAAAGAAATATGCAATTAATATGCATTTTCATTGAAATATGCAAAAATACGAAAAAAAAAATTAACCATATAGGTAATCTATACATTATGAAACGTCGACATTTATAATCAATTATAATCAAAATTATAATTCTAGGTGAATTGTAAAAGAATATGAATTTGTTATATTATAATCATAATAATATATTAAAATATATATTATAAATATAATATTATTGTGATAATACTTGAATATTCTCGGCCTTACCTGTGAGCTTAACTTCTGTGGCTACTTCACTCCAAGCTTTTTCTGTTATATTTCTTTTGGAGTAGCTTTTTAAGGTATAATTATATAGCTCGGGATACTTTTCTATTTGTTGCACAAATTTTATATTAAAATTTTGATCCATGTTATATTATTTTATTATACACGAAATAAAAATTACCAAGCAACTCGATCAATCAAAGTAGCGAGGAGACTGGCATGTCTAGTCGCCAGTTGACTAGTCGCGTCAGTTTATCAGTCGCGGCAACTTTAGTAGCGCCGTCTGAACGACGCCATTCAAACACACATTCGCAGTTGCCTAGTCGCCTAGTCTCCTAGTATCTAGGTGATTGCAGTTTCTTTTGAGTATCCCCGTGTGAGGAGGGCCTAACTCTAAGCGAGGTAGTGATACGACCTTGAGTGGCGCGACTTTCGACTTTGCGCATATTAACTTGGACGTATGTACGCCATCTGAGTTAGTGCTTCGTAAAAATAAGCAACAGCCGTATGCTTCTATGCTTGCGTCGGCGAAACCATGAATTTGAATATTGATTATTTTGCCATCGCCCATTATTTTACGGGGCACAACTAAATTATTTAATGATATTAATGACGTTCTATAAGCTTTCCATTCGTCCTGAATACTTGTTGGAAGTGGTTCGTCCCATTGCACTTTCAACAGCCATAGCCGTTGTAAAATTAATTTAGCGCGAATAGTAGCTGGTCCGATCAGTCCAAGCGGGTCGAATAAACACGCTATTTTTGACAGTATTTCGCGTTTCGTACTTTGTTCGCTGTTTTTTAGGTGTTTTTCGTGTACTTCGAATTGTAACGTATCCGCATTAGAACTCCAATATAGCCCGAGTATTTTGGTTATCGCGTTATCAATATTTTCGTGTGTGGCGATATTTTTACCATAATTATTTACATCGGTCGATAAGTCCGAAATCAAATTAATATTATTTGACGACCATTTTTGTAATTTTAATCCCGCCGAACCTAAAACCTCGATGAGTCCGTCCCGTAGTTGCATCGCTGCTTCTAACGTGTCAGCGCCTCCTAGAAAATCGTCCATATAAAAATCACGGACTATCGCTGCATAAACTTCGGGTTTCGTATTGTGTATTGTTTCCGCTAATTTAACAAGACAACCGGTTGCTAAAAATGATGCGGGTACTGTTCCGTACGTAATAGTTTTTAATTGAAATATTTTAATTGGCTCGCTTGGATCCTCTCGCCATAGTATCCGTTGAAAACTACGATGTTCATCCGCTATCCAGAACTGTCGGTACATTTTTATAATATCGGCCGATAAGACATAGTTATGTGTGCGAAATCGTGTGAGAATGAATAACAAATCCTCTTGAAGAACTGGACCTTTTAATAACAAGTCATTTAGACTTACGCCGTTATCGGATTTACACGACGCGTCGAAAACTACTCGCACCCGCGCCGCGTCGACTTGCTAGACTCTTTCACCACTGCGTGATGCGGCAAATAACACGTATTAACATTATTGACGTATTGGTCGTCGAATATTTGTTCCAAGTGTCCTAACTCTTTATATTCATTTTTTAACTCCATGTTATTTTCAAGTCGCCGCTCCATAGATAAAAAACGACGTTTGGCGATATTATATGAATTTCCTATTTTTAAACTATTATTACGAAATGGTAGGTGTACAATAAAGCGTCCGTCCTTGTCGCGCGTCACAGTGTCGTCAAAATATTTTTTACATATTTTTTCTTCCGTGGTGAATGGAGCATCGATTTTGACTTCTTCCAAACGCCAAAAACATGGTAAAATATTTTCTAATATTGGTTCTGTGTGTGTCGATGTAGCATGATGTGCGGTACTAATTATTTTCGTTTCAGTTTTACGTTCTAAACTCGACACCGGCCCCGATACAACCCAGCCCAACTTTGTTTCTTGAAATATCGGGCCGTTACAATGCGGTTTTATTTTTTGATCACCCAATAAGTCGTAAAAGTGTGTAGCACCGATTAAAATGTCCATCTTCTGTGGGACTTGGAATGACGGATCGGCTAACTTAATATTTTCCGGTATACCACATAAATTGGTTATATTTTGTGTCGGTAAATCACCCGTAATTTTTGGAACTACTAACATTTTTAATGAAAAATTGTAGTCACTAAAACGGGACTCGAAGCGCGCGTGTACGTACGAATGCACGTGTTGGGTTGCGGAACCTATACCATTTTTTTTTTTTTTTTTTTTAAATCAGAAAAAAAATAATATTTAACAAGATAACATATTAAATAAAACATTACAATGATTTATCTTTCTCCTGTAAGCTTACGCTTGTGTTGGAGAAAGAGAGTTATAAAGTGGTAGAATTAATTACATAATATCATATAAAAATAAATTTAACATTAAAAATATAAGAAATAATTATAAGAAACAAGAACACATAAAGGTAAAATATTACAACTAGGTAAAAATAATCATAAGAAGACATTTAACACTTACACTTATCATATTATTTTTATTATATCATAATAATTAGTAACCCTAGTACAAGTATTAAAGATTTTCCATGTTAGTAAATAACCAATCAGAAACCAATTTTTTCGCATACTTAGGTGTTACACAAATTGTATTTTTTAATTCATTATTCATGGAGTTGAAGATAGTAGGACCTTGATAGTCCAGAAATCTTTGACCATATGAGGTATTTGTATATGCTACAGGAGCATTATATGCTCTGTTTATTCTTTTATCTTCTACTCTTTTTAAATTAAACCAAGTGTTTATATTTTTAATTACCCATAATATTGATAATTTCTGGTAAATTAAATTAAAAGGCAAAACGTTTAGCTCTTTATAGTTTTATACAGTTGACCCTACTAAATTTTTTTTACCCAGACATACTCTTATTATTTTATTTTGCTGTAGTTGTAGCGGTTTTATTACATGCGCAGTTGCACCACCCCAAATCTTTACACTATATTGGAGAACAGCTTGATAAAAGGATATATATACTATTCTGATGAGGTGCTTAGGTAAAACTGACTGGAGTTTATAAAAATGATTTAATGATATACGAAGGCGTTTAATTAAATAATTAATGTGCAGATCCCATCTCAGGTGTTTATCAATAGTTATACCTAAATATCTGATATTGTGAACTCTTTGAATTTTTTTACACGTATTAGTGTTAGCACACTTTTCAGTATTTTCACAAAAGTGAATTTTTAAATCACTTATAGGGATTTGAGTACTATTTATAGTGAACGTCATGTAAAAGGTCTTACTAGTATTCAATGACAATTTCCTATTTGTTAGACTACGCACAACTTTATTTAGCCCATTTGTTGCTTTGTCGTGAACAGATTTCCATGTCGCGCCTGAAAAGAGCAAACATGTATCGTCGGCATATGTGATCACTTGACCATCTAACTTAGTATTGCAAACATTATTAATATATAATATAAAAAGGATTGGACCAAGCATACTTCCCTGTGGTACACCGCAGATAACACTTTTTTTTTCACTTAGAAAACCATTTACGTTAACTAATTGTAATCTATTTTCTATGTAACTAGTAAACCAAAGTAGACTTTTGTTTATTATTCCAAAAGTTGGAAGAATTTTTATTAATTCAATATGATTAACTGTGTCAAAAGCTTTTTTTAAATCTAGAAAGATTGCTAATGTTTTTTCACCATTGTCTAGAGAATTACTTATAAACTTAGTTACACTATATAATGCATCCTCTGTACTTAGACCTGGTCTAAAACCAAATTGATTTTTCGAGAGTAAATTATTAGATTCAAGGTATTTAATTAATTTGTTTTTAATGATTTTTTCTAACAGTTTGGCAAAATTAACAATCATCGATATTGGTCTATAGTTATTTATTTCGGCTCGATTGCCTCCTTTAAATAGTGGAGCTACTACAGCTATTTTAAATTTTTCAGGAAATAAACAGTATTTAATACTTAGATTATAAATATATAGAAGTGGGCCTAGTATAGAATTTATTATGGTTTTTAATAATTTTACAGTTATTTTATCAACTCCGGCAGCTGTATCATCTTTCAGAGTTTTTAAAGTTAGCAAGATTTCTGTTTCTGTTATTTTTTCGTTAAAAATGTTATCATACGAGTTTCCATTGAGTTGAATAACTTCCTCTAAAGGGTTAACTTCTACTATATTATTTTCAGCTAGTTTACTGCCTATATCGATGAAAAAAGTGTTGAAAATATTTGCGATCTTTTGCGGTTCGTCTGTGGCATATAACGTTTGTTTATTTATTTGAATTGAATTAATTTCTTTAGCCTTATCGACATTTTTATTTGTTATTTCATTTATTAATTTCCAAGTTAATTTTGGGTTGGATGAAACACTGTTAATTTTATTTTGATAAAAATTTAATTTTGTGAGTCTCAATATTTTAGTAAACGTATTTTTATACTTAGTATAATATAACATTAAAGATGTGTTGTTAGGGTGTTTTTTAATTTTCATAGAGAGATATTGTTTTTTACGTGCTGAGCATAATAAACCGGCTGTCATCCATTCTTTAATACGTTTATATCTGGAGCCTACATTCTTGATTGTGGTTGCCAAGCTGATAGCATTGTTAATTATATCATAAAATATATCACAACTTCTATTAATGTCATTATTACTATACACATCTTCCCATTTTTCAGATTTCAATATAATATTCACCTTTTCGTGATTAATAATTTCAATTTTTTTATTATTATTATTATTGTGTTTAGATTTTGAATTAACATTTATTGGTATGGCTAATACTGTTAAAAAATGATCAGTTATACTAGTCTGTATTACCCCAGCTTCAAAATTATTTATCATACTATTAAATTTAACAAAAATATGATCTATACAAGAATGTCTGAAATGATTTGGAGTTCTAGTATATACATTGATAAAAGATTTAAAATCATATAAAGACAACATATTTAAATAGTCATTATCAATCGAGTTTATGCCAACTATATTAATATTTATATCCCCTAATAATGCCATTATGTCTTTGCATGTATTTTCATTTGATAGGATATTATTTAACATAGTCAAAAATTCCTGGATATCATTCGATGGTGATCTATATATACAAAATAAAGTAATTGGATTATTAGAGATATTAATTTTTAACTTAACAATATTAGCTTCATTTCAATCAAATTCAAAAAATTGTATGCATAAATTTTTTTTATACAAAACAATTATTCCGTCATTTTGATTTCTCTTAATTTTAGTAAAGTAAGTATTATAATCACGGATAGATATATTACAACAGTTAACGTCATGCCAAGTTTCGGTTAGAATTATTATATCTAAAAGCATATTTTTTTTATCATTTTCCAAGAAAAGTAATAGTTCATCTAAATTAGAATTTACACTTCTTATGTTGCAACACAGAACATTTAGAAAGAAACCATTAATAATTTTATGGCTGTATATAAAGTCTGAGAAAGAACAAAAATAATTGGTCGTATAATTAGAAAAATTTGAGGTTGACAACGATTGAAAAATATCCATGATAAAGCATATTATTTATTAATTATTATGTAATAGATAAAAGTGTCTAACAATTAAACTAACTTTGATAAACTATTTTCGTCTTCTATGGGTATAGCATTAGTGTCATTATTTTTCCTAACAAAAAGTTTGTTATTCTTAAACCACACAAATTTATAATTTTTTTCTTTAGCAAGTAATTTTGTTTTAAAAAATAGATTTCTATAAGTTTGAGTTAAATAGTTATTGATATAAATACTCTCTTTCTTCCAATTTTCATTTATGTCTGTAGTTGATAATCGTTTAGTTTTCACTAAATGCATAAAATTTAGTTTTTCCTCTATTGATTTTAGAATTGCGACAATTTTTCCTGGTTTTCCTGTCATTTTCGAGCGTACACGATATGCCTTTTCCACATTAACCTTGCCGCCTACTGCAACCGAGATATTTTCAACAGTTTTGATACAATTTTCATTATTTTGTTCAGGTAAACCAATTAACTCAATATGTTTGCTGAATTGTTCTTGTTCAATTACATTAATACGTTTATTTATTATCGAAACTTCACTTTTTAATTTTATATTTTGTTCTTTTAGATGTCTGTTTTCCTCCTTAATTTCCTTTACGGAGTTCACCAGATCCCGGATTTGAATTGTAAAATCATCAAACTGTTTACTCATAAAGTTGATTGATTTTGTGAGATCCAATAGTTGCTCTTTAGAAACAATATTACAATCTTCCATTGCTGGTATACTCTTTATATTTTTATTAATAGCTTATAGCTACTATTTTCGATGAGCCTTCTCTACATTTAAGTTTACATGCGGCCCTTGGTATACAGTCGTACGGGTGAATCAACGACCCGTTAGTATCAACGGCGGTCGACGGGTTAGCTTTAAACGTGATTAACTGATTTTGGAATCGCATACATCTCTGTCTATTTATTTACAGTTATCATATATTCAAATTGTCGACTTCATATGTTATAGAAACAATGCGTATGTACGGAGCAACCAACGGGTTGTTCAGAGAAGCAGTGAAAACATACCAAGTGCCCGACGAGTCTTTGGTGATTGAAAAGGGGACTAAGGTCATGATACCCATATACAGTATTCATCATGATCCAAAATATTACCCCGATCCGTATACATTTGACCCGCAAAGGTTTTCTCCGGAAGAAAAGGCTAAGCGGGTGTCTAGTACTTACTTACCGTTTGGCGACGGACCACGGTTTTGTATAGGTAAGTACGGTGCATGTGAGCAGTTGTGTTCAAGGTTTCAAATATTGTATGATAATTATTTTACGTAATTATATATTATTTAACGTCATTAATAGGAAAACGATTTGCCGAATTGGAAATGAAAATGGTTCTCTCGCAAATACTGACGACGTTTCGAGTTTTGCCGTGCGAAAAAACTGAAGTTCCGATTAAATTTAAATCTGGATTACCCCTGTTGGTAGCAAGAAATGGAATTTTTTTGCGTTTTCAATCGATTTCAAAATGATTATTGGTGCTAGTCAACTTATTACGAATTACGTACTCAACCGATTATATTGTTAAAGAATTATTACAAATTATATTTTATACTTTAAAATTCAATGGAGTCACCATATTCTATATTTAGTACAAATTATCAGAAAATTACATTACAAATTTAAAATATTAACTTAAAATTTAATAAGTACTTTATAAAAATACCCATGATTTCTAATGCAACTTATGTAAAATAATTATTTATGAAACAATGAAATTAACGTTTTTAAATCATATAATATAATGTGTACACATAGTACATTCATTGGTACCTATAGTAGTCATTTAATATATCTCGGTTAATCAATAAGTATTTTACATCGATAATTCACATAATAAAAATGGTAGTATATCCTGTTAAACGTTAATATGATCCACGGAATCGTTGCATTTTGCATCGTTTGAGCAAAATTTTTTCGGACGTTGTGCTTTTTCATCTAAAATTTGAAATAAAATAGTTTTAATTTTAGATTCTGAGTGGAGCGATGTATAATATATTATTAGTATTAAAATGCTTTGTAATAAGTAATTTTTTTTTTTTTTTAATAGTCGAAAAAAATCTGTGATCATAAACTTGGCGTAAATTGGATCTAGTTTATACTTTGGGGAGTCAAAGTTTCACAGTACTTAACAAAGTAATCACGAGAAACAAAAAAAACTAGAATATTTGAGTAATACCTATCAATTTTTTTAAAATATCGAATTAATTTTTTTTTTGTTATATAAAAACAAATATTAGAAGAGACTTGAAATCTCCAAAAATATTTTACATTAACATTTTCTAGCCATACAATTTCTCAAAATTTTTCTTTACAAGAATTTTTTGGTTTATCATTGCTGGAGACATAAATGCCGAGCACTCGCTGTGGTACAGAAACTGTGTTAACCCAGCAGACCGAGTTCTCTATAACACATACATTACAGTGGCTTACACGACCACGCGACACCTAATATGCAAACACCTACCTGAGTTGTGACAAATACTGACAATATTTTACTTTTGATCTCTAAAGTCCAACTGAGTCCAATTGCGCGTTTCTATCAAATATATCTAGATAATATTGAAGCACTTAATGTATTGCACCAAAGTGGATAACAGACAAAAATAAATTTAAAAAAACAGATCGTTGTACAATCAATACTTTCGTTGCTACACACAGAATAATATAAAATATAAAAAACTTATAATTTATTTCCAATTACATTTTTTTTAAAATTTAATTATAATACATTTACTAAGGTGTACCTCCAATGTGTTATTACGTAATTACTTATTAGTTAAAAATAATAATATAATATTTCATACGTACATATTTTAAATTTTTTAAAGATGTAATTTATAAAGTAATCTATTTCGTCTTTAAAAATAAAAACACCAAATAAGATTATTCGAATTTTGAACATAATCGAAATCATGTTATTTAATTTCATATGTTTGAAACTATAACGTAGTGTCGCATTTAGGAATTGTATGCCTCGGTTTAAAAAAATAGTTGGCGCCTCTCAATGAGAACCGACGCAAGGGGAATGTTATAGATAGATCATCATGAACTTTTTAAATTTTGAGCAAAGAAAATAATCTATTGATTCAACCATAATGTAAGGGGTTTTTTCTAAATATTGTTTAATAATTTCACGAACCCCCTCCACTTCTTCTCGAATATAAAATTTAGTGTATGCTACTTAAGTTCTGTTTTTTAATTCACCATATAAGTTGTTTTTTTTTTACATATTTAGGTACTTCATGGTACATGGATTATGTTAATATAATATTATTATGAAAAAAATAAAAATAAATGTAACAAAACTATATTATAAATATAAATATACTATAATATAAATTATATGCAAATCAATATTAAATGTTTACAACAGCTGATACATAATTGTTTATAAATAATAATTATTTTCTTTATTTATTGATCTTAAGCAAGTATTTGTATTTTAAATTGTCAGCCATGAGCTTTTTGTAGGGGGGAGGGGAGAGAAGGGATACTGTTGGTATGTATGTCGAGGATTTGTCATTAAAAACCCAAGAAGGCACCAATCCAGAAACTAGTTTCGTGATTAGACAACCACAGCGCCACACTATAGACTACAATAAACAATTTTAACAAAAACAATAATTATTTAGAATATTAAATTGTTAAATTGTTGATAAAGCTCTACCTATTTTTATTTTATTTATAATTAAATATGTTAAGTAATTATATTTTTAAGATTTAGTATGTAGATATAATATGGTTTTACATATTTCAGATTGTTAAGTGCAAATTTATGAGTATATATTATACATTATTCAAATAAATTGTATGCAAAAAGTTTTAATAATTCACAAGTGAACAAGTTTTCGACCACATATGGGACAGTTGTCACCATTGCACCCCCCCCCCCCCTAAATGCGACCCTGTCGGTATTATCTACAATAATATGTCGATTATTGAATAATGTATTTTAATATACTTAAGCTTAATTTGTATACTATGATAGCGGACATAAGAATTGATAAGACATCCATTTCATATATTGAATAGGATAATATAGCAGTATAGTAATATGCGTAGGTATTAATGAATTATATGCTCATGGTAATATGAAGGTAGCCGGTAGGTATTATTATTGTTGAACACAATACGCAATACGACGTATAATCGTACAAATATTGAAATATTATTGTAGTTTGAAAATCACTTAAAGTTATCTTTCAATTAGAACAGGAAAAAATCAAAATAAACTGCTAATAAGTGTGATGTTAATCTAAAGATATGTAGTCAACATTCGTGATATGAAGACTTTGAAAAAGAAGTTGATCGTACTGAACGACTGCATTATCATCAAAAGAAGTGGACACTGGATATCATAAAGTAATTGCCCATGCCAGATTGTATATAAATCGAGTAGATAATGTTCATCTTCTGTACTAATCGACGTATTATAGCTTAGGAACACATTTTTTAATAGTTAGATTTCCTTACCTGTATTTTTAAAATCGATCAATGCTTTAAGATATGATATAGTAAAAAAGTAATTAGTTAACTTGTTTAGTTCGAATCACGAAGAATATAGTATAACCTTTAACCTTCGTGGTTTTAAGTTTTAACCAAATATATACCTACTATTAACGATAACTATAATAACGATTGTATAAATCATAGGCATAGAATGAGGGTGGGAGGCTAAAGCGGCCATAATCCCTCAGAATTCTGTTAAGTCCCCTGTGTAAAATTGCACTACTTTATACGTCCGTGTATAAGAACTGAAACATATAATAGGTAATGGGTATTACTTTTATATTGTGTTCCTTTACATTTTACTTTAGTTCCATTTTTAGAATATATGTCTTGCACCAGAATTATTATACGCTATAGCCCCTTTGCCGAAGTATTTCGCAAGAAGTTCTGGCATCGTCATTGATACCACAAGGAAAAAAATCCCTCATATAATTTCACGGTCTAAGCTGTATTTAGTTTTTTTTTGTAACTATGTTGTATTTGTTTATAAATATAACAAAAAAATACACGATGATATGCCTATCAATAACTCCTGTAACAGTCAAAAGATAACCTTCACCAACTAAATACATTTTTTTTTGATAAATATAACTGAAAACTACCTTAAGTAGCTGACAGTAAGTATAGGATTTAAAAATCAAAAAATTATAATTATCTATAAATAGGTATATAGATAATTTAGTGTGTCTTACATACTTATGTTTTCAAATGTTTCCTTGAAAATGTCTGCAGAATCTACTATTAAAAAATTAACAAAATATTTACATTTATAAGGTGTTGAGGTAAGAATAATACGTATAATATATTAATACATAAATATATTTTGATTTTTTACGAGATATCGTATTGTGAAAAAAATAAAATATTTAAATATAAATACAATTAATTATTAATATTATTATTACTAACAGTTTTTGAATATCTGTAAGTTAGCTGAAATAAAATAAACATTGTATAGAATTGAAGACTAGAAAAAATATTGGGATTTTAATGTGATAAGCTGATAACGAATAATCGTGGCTAAAATTATGAATTATGAATTTAGACACCTATGAGTATTCTCAAAATATCCAGAAGCCTAGAGGCGCACGCTGGGTTTTTCAATGGGAGGGGGGAGAGGGTCGCTTGAAAAGGCTGGTTATATGTGTAACTGGTGGTCTTATATTATAAAATATTATGTAATAATATGTTATGTACAAAATATATGATATATTATTTAAAGAAAAGGAAAATAAAATTGGCCATATGTTCTTATTGTTCAATCATAAGCATAACTACTATTAACAAACTATAATAACTCTAAAACAATCAAAATAAACAATGCAATAATTATAAATAAACACAGGTATAGACATGATTAATGAACGTTAGAAAAATATATTTATTAGGTATTGAAAGTGGCATGTAACTTACTTCCACATTCTAAAATAAAACAAAAATATCAATTATTAGTGAATATTAGAGTGAACCCTTTTCAATCATTTTAGTATTTTTTTTAATACTTGTATCTATTGGTTGTATATAATAATTGATAAACTACTGCAATATAAGGTGCATTATATTATTCGTAAATTATTGGAAAAGCATTTAAAATTTGAATTTTGGTAAAACTGTTTATTCTATTCATATTTAAAAAATTTTGACCCATCAAATTTCAACTACTACACTATAATGTTGTGGATCTATTTTAGTAATTATTTTAAATGTTTACTTATATATACGGCTCGAATTTAAAGCATAATAAATAACAAAAAAAAGCACAAAATTGTTTAAAAAAGCAAAAATGAAGCATATCTATTTTGCAAAAAAGCAAAAAAAAAAGCATGACTACAAATTAACATAAATTAGTTATAATTTTATAAAATTGAATAAAAAAAATTGAAAAATTAATTTAAATTAAAAAAAGAATTTACTTCTATGTATTTGGCAAGATTTTCAGAAGTGAAACTGACTCTATTGTCTGAGAGGATGTTTTTATGCATAGAAAATGTACGCTCTACATCGACATAAGTGATCGGTGCATACTTCATGCAAGAGGTTTCGTTTAAATCAAACCCACGATAGTTAATTTCGTTTGATGAAACGCCACACAGTATAGTATTAGGGTCGACAAGTAATGCAGACTTTTCATTTTCGTGTCTTTTAATAGCTTGAACGTGTTTTTCTTTCCGTACATGCTGTCGTATATTACATTTGTTTTCATGTGACACTTATATTTCACAAAGTTTGCAATATAAAATCGATCCATCGTTTGAAAAAATTCTTCACCAAGTTCTAACACTAATTTTTTTAAAAATGCATTTGTTTTAACTTTTTATGCATTTTAATGCATTACAACACTATAAAGAACTATAACACTTACATTTTGAACTGGTCGATATCGATGTTATACGAGTATTGAGCGTAAATTCTACAGACTATATGCAATAGCCGATATGCTATCGGACCCATAAGCTACCTGTAGATCGATAATCTATACGTTTAAGGTCGTTTACACTGATGGTACGGTCACGTTCATTACTGCGGGTTTTCACATTAATTCTAATTAAGTAAATAGACACCTTTTTATTTTTATAGCATAATAGACATACAAAATTCCACAATTAGAATAACTGAAAAAAGCAATAAAAAAGCAGAAAAAGCATTTACACAAAAAAGCAAAAATGAATTCGTTTATTTGGAATCAGATTGGCGTGAAACGAATTTATGTATAATAATTCGATTTCTATCTTAAATATATAAAAGAAGCATTTCCTTGAAAATTCGAGCCCTGCTTATATATAATGCACTAAATCCTTTAATTTATTTTACGTTTTTTTATATATTCCGTGCTTAGTATTGTGGTCACCTAGTCCATACCACTTTAGCCAAACTGTTAAGTGAATGTTCATTCCAATGTTGTACAAGGAATTTTAGACGAATGTTCATTACAACATTGGGCTAAGGATTGAATTGTGTGTGGAGTACATACAGAAATGAACAATTAGCTTACCTACGACAATATAATCAATATGAGTAATAGTTGTCCTAGAGGCACTAAAGCTATTATAGTTTTAAATGAGGTCAGTGATAAAAGGGGAATCAATTTGTCAAATTTGGTTTAAATTGGTTTAAACTATTTTAGATACTTACCTTCCTTTTTATTTCCAATAATTTTATGGAATCCTCAAAAAAAGAAAAAAATAAGCATCTACTTTGGTACACAGGTACTAGGTATGCAACATAATGTAAGGTATTTGAAAAAAAGTGTTAATAATATTACACAATGATCATACATTTAAAAAAAAAAAAATGTTGTTCAAAAACAAAATATTCAGCGTTATAATATAACCATACTAAATATTTAATACTTCTATTATAATTATATATTTATATTCTTTAAATTTATTGTATTGTTTGGTATAGAATGACCTACCTATACCTTTAGTTGCATCCAAATATTTAACAAACTTACTAATTGTAATATCCTTCAAGAAAGAATCTAAAGAGAATTATTTTTTTTATTAATTTTTTTTTATTATGATATCTAGGTGGACAATCTACCTGCGGTGGATATTGGATATTAATAACTAATAAATAAGTAACTCTTTTTTCTCCACGAACCACTCAAGCACCAATAAATGAATATATGAGTAGTTATGATTTTAATCTTCTTAATATTTAATAGCGGTTTAACCAATAACCTAAACTAATTGCAGGTTCAATCAATATGGAGAGCTTAATATATACGAGAGAAGATATCGGCCAACTAGTCGAACATTTTCCATTAGTTGGCTGTTTTAATTGATAATGGACAATATAAACTATTCATCCAAATTTTTATATTGACTAATACTTATATATAATAGCTTTACTAACCTAAGCCCCAAGCCACCAAATAACAATATGTAATAATAACATAATACAGGCAATTATATCCAATGATAATAACTATTTAATTAACTGAAACCAATAATAATTTGCATGTTTTATGTAATTCGTCATGTTTTAGTCATCCTACAGGCCTACAACATTCAGAGGTTAAACAAATAACCGGTATAGAAATTTATTGATATGACTTGAGTTGAAAACAATCCAGTAGTTTCTGAGTCTATAGAGGACAGAGAAACAGCTTACAAATATATTATAAATTATAAAACATGGCCATACAGAAATATTATGAGAAAAAATTTTTAAATTTAAATAAAATTAAGACCTTCAAAAATTAAATAGTTTTTTGAATAAAAAAAATCTTTGTACATTTGAACTACGTATATCAATTCCACATATTATGTTAAATTGCATTCAATATTATTGAAAACACTTAAGTACCTACCTATACTTAATTCCGACTTTCAATTTAATCTCAAACAGTGTATACAGACCATTGAGACCAATAAGTATATTTATATCAAACAACTTACCTCCAGCAGTTTCTAAAATTTAAAAGAAATTTATAGTTCAAGCATTAGGTTCCATACGTCCCGAAAACATAAGTCAAAAGTCAAAATTCATAACAACTACCTAATAATGTTCAAGATCTATCAGTAAACAGTAACTTCTCTAATTGTTTCCATCGGTATAATAAGGTAATTTGAACTTATTATCACACAATGATTTTGAAAACAAATTATGGTTTTTAAGTTTAAATGTAACACAGGGATCTCCAGTCATCTTGGAAAATACCTCAATTAAGTGACAAATAATAATGGTTTTGAAAATATATTATTTACATACAATTAAATTGTTACAAAACAAAATTTTTGAAAATAAACAAAACATTTTAATCTTGCTATAATTACTCTTATACCTATACAGGAAATTATTAATTCACCAACCACCGCTCTTGATTCTTAGAAAATAGGTACATTTATGTAAATTATAATTTTCAAAATTTTTCCGGTTTATAAACTTAAGAATACTTTATTTATATGTCAATTAAGAAGTATCCCAATAGATAACAAAATATTTTTTGTCATAATATAATTTTAACTTTTAAATAATATAAGCTTCCTCTTTTATTCTGTGCATTTTTAAAATGGTACCTATGTCCTATATGAAAATTAAACTAATTTATTAAGCTTATATAAATTTATTTATTAGAAACGTATTATGTAAAATGGGGATATCCCGAGTGCGTCCCGTTTTTAATTTTTACCTTTTTCATAGCCCGAGTGCGTCCGCCGTCTTATCGACAAATTATATTACAGTGCCCGAGTGCGTCCTCGGTCCACAGCTGCTATAGGTATCTATTTAAGATATTTTAACACTGGAAACGGTGGGAAATTGATTTTAATTAATCTATTTGGCTTACCATTATTAAATCAAGTAGATTTAGAAAACTATATTATTGAAGATTTTATATTTATAATGCCAAAACATCAAAAACTTAACGAATTTATGGATAATATAATAGAAAATTATACAGATTCTGGAGCAAAATTTCCTATTTCCATGTGGGCCAAAATGAATAGTAGTTCTAAAAGGACAACAAATGCTTGTAAAAGCATTCATTCCAAGTNAAAAAATTCAAATCGATACTAAAATAGCAATCCGAACGGCCACACAAACAACAAAAAAAACCAAAACAAAGTACGTGCAAGAAAATATTATACATCGAAGACAATATAAAACAATTTAATAATAATGAAATAACAAGATTCGATTTTTTCAAAAGAATAGCATTTAAACACCAGCTTATATAAATATATAATAATAACAAAAAACGTTTCAATAAATTGTACGCTAACCTAAACTTAACCGTGTAAGCTAGTTCTAATAATTATAATAAAAATAATATTTTTGGGGTGTAAGGCAGTTCACCTCCTCGTGGTGCACCCTGGGTAATTCTAAATGAACTGGACGCATTCGGGCTATGTAAAAAATATGACGTTTTTTTTTTTTGGGACGCACTCGGGTGATACCTTATTATGGACGCACTAGGAACATTAAAAAATGTACATTTCGGGACGCACTCGGGAAATTTCCTGCAAAATATATATTTTACATAATATGTTTCTAATTTCTATTATAATACTGCAGGTATACAAATTGCGTATCAAATTTTTTTAAAGTAAAAATGCATGTTTACAGAATATTTTACTAGTTTAAGGATTAAGAGAACATTTTAAGGTTTCTTCAAAGAATAATGTTAGATTCATATTTTTAACTTTCAAGGACCTAATAATTACAAGTATAATAGCGGTATTTATTTCATATAAACTTACTCTGTATATCACCTAATAATAAAAAAAACATATATTTGTTAATGACCATTAATTTAACTTTACATATTATTTATCAGTAGTATTTTTTTTTTTGCATTTTTCTTGTTAACAATGTTAATAATATTTTCATACTATGTAAATTGTAGTAAATTGAATCAATTAACTTCAAAGTTTTACATACATTTTGACAGAATGAAGAAGTACAATCAAGATTATTCAATGGGCCAAAAAATATTTATCTGTACCTATATCATTTCTTTAAAATTATAATGAATTGTGTTGTATATTATATTATCAGTGGCAGTTCGTGGGTGCTGGTGGTGGAGGTGTGACTTTAAGACTTTGAGAAGTACCCTTGATACGAGCCTCGCATACATACGTATTCAGAATATTGCTCGGACGACGCTGCCGGTCGTCGCCGTCCTAACACTGCTCGTGAGTACATGCGTACCCACATGCTCCTGGTATCTGAGAGAAACAAATTTAATGTTCGCGACCAACTATTTTATTATTTGGAAATTTGCATTTTAAATAAAACATGTTTTTTAAAAATGTAAAATGAAGAATGTACAATTTATTTTCTACATTTAATTAATTTTAGTAGGAGGTGCGATCGTCCCGTCGTCCGAACCACGAGCCGCCATTGTACATTATTGTAATCAAACTGAGCAAGCGATCCGGCATCCAAAAAGTTTATTTTCGGGTTTCAGATTCTGATCAATCAACTGCAGCATATTATAACAACATTTATCATTACATTTAAAAATAAATATTATGAACTAGGTAATATTATGTTAATTTTCACTTATTATTAGTCATTAGATAGGAGCAGAAATTTGTTGCTATCCTCACGAATTCTCGAATACAAATAATGCGGTTTTGTTCTTATATTTTGTGTATATATAATATACGTAAGTGTATATACAATATAGGTACATAGTAAATTATTGTTATTAAACATTCATTATTTATACATTGTCAACTTACTTGACCTAAGCAAATCTTAAAAAAAAATTTACGGCATGAATACTAATTTTATTCATCAGATAATATTATAATGCGTTCTATTAAAAATATTATTCCTGATTTTTCGTCACTGTTGGGTAAGTTCTATGTATCTGTGAAGGTGCATCGTCCATATACGTTAAATATTTGTTACCTATTGTTAAATATTTCCTGCAGGCCACAATGTAAGTTATGTAACACAATGTAATATTTATTTTTTACTCGTTGTTTAAATGTTTATTTCATCTTCCAGTAGGCATTCAGAAAATGAAACCAAATAATAAGTTGAAATGGGTAATGAATGAGTAATCAATAATATATTTTAAGATATTCCATTATGTAAAAATTCCATTTAGGTAGGTAAATGTAAGTTGTAACTATAATAATACTGTGCAGAACAGAATCTTAAAGTGCACCCACATTATAAATTCTATAAAAGTATATAGCCATATAGGTAAGTAGTTTTTGGAAATAATGTACTCATATTATGGTAAACATATTAAATATATCAAAGCCACAGGCATTGTTTGAATATTTAAATATCATATAGTTTGTATAATATTGCTTTACTCACCTAATATATCTAAAGAATGGGGAAAAAATATATTACACTGTGTAGTTTGACATCAGTTAGATTGAACCATTTGAAATACGTTATTTTTATTATATACTATTTTTTATATATTTGTAAGCTGAAATATTTTTCAAACATTTTAGATTCTAAGTGGAACGATGAATGTACTGATTTTACAATGACGTGTGTTTTTTTGTACTAGTATGTGTACACAATTTAAATTTGAAAAAATATTTTGGTTTTCAACTTTGGGGGTGTTTTCTTGTAAGCCCATATTTTTGGAGCATAGAGCTAACTTCTAAGTTCATACCTATAGGTCATATACACTAGCTCTATAATTTAAAAGTACTCAAAGGTTTAGATATACATGCGTAGACAATAATAGACCAACATTAGCCTTGTGCCAGTGCATTCCCCGGTCATCAAAACTTCTAAATTTAAATACTTAAAATTAATTTACTATACATACTCGTTTGAAATTTGATTTTTAATTAGTAAACATCAAAATGCGAAATATATTAACATTATCTATGTATTAATATTATTTATCTTAGTTTAATTTCCGTATTTTATCAACTTACAATTTATATCTAGAACAATAATAAAGTAAAGTATATCGATTGTATTATATGATATAATAAATGCGTCATTAATCATAATAGCGGTAAACGAAATGACGATACTCATATTTGCAAATAGAATTATTTTACTTTTTTTCTATTAAAAAATCGCAATAAATCATAAAATAATGTGAATCATCAAAACGTATAGTAACAGCAGTATTTATAATACCTAAATTGAATTTTATTTTAAGATAATTAGACTAAAACCTTCAACAAATATAATACAATATTATTTTCTTCATTTGTAGTACACCATACATTCATACAGAATCATGAATTTTGCCTATAACCCCGTCCACGGACTTAACGAATAATCTAATGATAGAGTTTTATATTTTTAATGATGTAGGTATTTAAGTATTTTTTACATAGGCGCCTAAATAATATTGTTAAAATATTATTATTTGATTGGTTAGGTTAAACGAAAACAATGATATATGGGTAGTAATTAAGTAAAATTAGGTAAGCACCTAAAGAGGTAAAGTTGCCTGTCTAAATAAAAGAGTGAACGATGTAGGAGCTTAGAAAATATGTATTTGCAGATTATATTATAATATATTATATTAATTTATAGAAAACACAAACATTAAACTTAAATCATCTTATTTAATAACTGATCAACACACTTACCTCTGTCTACTATAATAAAATAAACCGAGTAGGTATAATTCACTTCAGCATAGATAGATATATAAGTAGCTGAGACACACTTTTTTTTAAGGAAATAAGTCATTTTCGAGTTGTTATTTATTTTGTAGGTATAATTATTTTACTGATATTTTTCACTTAAAATATAGTAGTATCCCGAAAGGAATGAATTTGAGTGGACTGTATGAATTCTTTTCCGCTCCGTTTAGTGTGTTGGTTACCAACGGAGAGCGTATTGGGGTTAAGGAGGCGTCTAGGGTGAGTCTTACGGCAAGGTAAGATAGACAACTGACCGATCTCGTGCTCCACACTCGTATTTATAGGACTCCCGATGCCGCCAGTGCCGTCTGATGTCGGCGACCGGCCGTTGGTCCATGCATGGATCTGCCCGTGTTCAGTCTCGGCTGGAGCGACTCGGTGGCGTCGTATGCCGGGCGGCGGCGGCGTTAACGCTGGTTGCCCGCGGCCTGCTCGTGATTCCACCGGATACTAGTCACCAAGGGTTGTTATTGGCCATGGCGGTGTTGATTCCGTTTAGTCACGCCTACAGCCATTCGTTCGCCAGTTGTGTAACGTCACCCGGCATGAAAAATATACCAACACAATGCATGGTTATGCCCTGGCTACCTGGCAGGCTTTTCCAGCTGTCGCTGGTGTGTATCTGTCTACCGGGGGCTTACAAAGGGCTATTGCGGCCTTGAACGCGGTCTCCACGGGGGGGGGGTGCATACGTTATCAATAGTAAATGGAATCTGAATATTGCTGAATAGCTAGTTAACGGTAAACTAGACGACCCCGCCTACGAGGTAGTAAACATAAACATAATACGGTTGCCCTTGTCGGTGCGGTAAACGTTTCCATGTTTTTCGGAGGTTCAGACTTCAGATCATATTACTTATGAGTTATGACAAGACCTCAATCAACTGATCGAGTTTCGCTTCGATATTTTTCTATGATAATATGTGGCACCTTTATCCGTGTTGCCTTTGCTCACCCTGAGCCTTCGTGAATCGTGGTCATTACTGGTGTAACGAGCATTATGACATAATACGTATTCCTTATCGCAGAATATAATACAAGGATCATCAAGAATGGTTCGATTGAGCAAATTTGTAACTATCATGTACCTAATTACAATCGGTACCTCTTATGAGCAGTCAGACCCGTTCTTTACGTAATACAGAGATTCGGCCGGCACAGTCGGTGGGAGGTTGATAGCTCACCTGCACACCTCCCGACGTCAAACGTGCGTCAATGTTTTTATGGATTTTCATGTGTTTTTTAATGGTAATCTACATCATATTACAGATAAATATATACCAAGTTGCAGAGTATATTTTATGATATTATGAAGGAATTCATAATATTTCCATGATTCTAGTCTATAGACGCATAAATATATTTATAGATATATGTACATACGTTTAAGTAAACGATCGTTACAAAACTCGTCTGTGCTCCTTAAATTATCTAAAACAAAGAAAATCAAGGTAAGTAGGTATCTGTTGTTATTGATTTATTTACAATGTTATTACATCGTGTATAACAGCTAAAATAATGCTGTATAATTCCACCATATGATAAATAGTAGCTAAATATATATCTAACCTAGCTACTAATATTATATTAAATCAACTATTTAAATTAATTTAATTGTTTCAAAATAATAATGAAATATAGATTGGTACTTGATAAAATGTTTTCCCCGAGCAACTTAAAGTACATTTTCGCAACACCTTTATTAATAAATAAACATTTTTAATTTAGTTGTAACATTTCATAATATCTGCTATTTTATACTACCTAAGTAAATATTATAATTATTTTTAATCATATTTTTAATTCATAACACAAACTTACACAACTACAACATTATGATATTTTATTTTCAATTTTGTCATAAAATATATGTATGGGATTTGAAAAATATAATTGTAACCGTAAACAACACAAACACCAGAACCTAGCCAAACCAATACGGTGTAATAAGAATCAACTACTATATCAACACATATAGTAACATACACTTATAGTGTAATTCTTAAAAAACAAAGAACGGCGCAATACGCCAGCCACAACGTGTATCCTTGCCAGCCAATTTATCATGAACACAGGTGAGTTATGCTTAGAAACTTCACAGTATGTAATACATTATCCATTTACGCCATTGTACGTTATATTTTTTTATTTTTTTCCTATCATTTATTTAAAAATCCTAGTACGTTATCTTAGTAGATAATAATTGTATATGATCTTTACTCTTCGTCTCAGACTCCCCCGTGACAGCTTCACCAGTTCACCACTTCACGCAAGCTGCCGTAGAGTAAATTGGTTTAAATGACTCACTCGAAAAATTATATCTAAACTCTAACGTATACACTGATTCCTCAGAAATATTGATTCAGCTTGCCGCTACCTCTCCAATATCATCAGATTCACAGTCTTCGGCGTGAATATTGTTCATTGGAATCCACAGCACTCTACGATCACCGAATTCCAAAGAAATAATTGCTAATGTTGCCTCCAAAAACCGTATCCATCGTGTATGGTACCAAACTCGTGATCCTGATATCAGAAGCCAACTAATACAAAAATAAAATGTATGAGCAATTTTCCCCAAACTCACCGACAACATGAATGGTACAAGTTTCTGAAATCACTGAATATTAGTTATAACTTCTCCATCTTCAAGCTCAACAGAAAAAGTCAATAAGCAGAACAATTCATCCGGTCCAGCTATTCTGAAAGTCTCCGAATTTTCTCAAAGTATACTAACCGATCCTTTATCCAATATCTTTACATCTCCCGAAGCGGCATTAAAGAACATTAAAAACCTAACCAAACTTAAAGCTCTATGTATCGACCTAATTTCAAACACAGCAATATTGAGTTTTTACCAAAATCCAGATAAAAATGAAACATCATATTCTATGACATAATATTTACAAGATATAAAAAAGAAACGGTCAGACCAATAATAAAATATGGTAACGTGGATAAAGTAATCAGGATGTAAATTATTAACAAGTGTTAAATAAGTTCATATTATAATGTAAACTTTAATAAGTACCTCTGTGTGCGCCCTGAATAAGGGCAACCCGAAGGACCACTCGGGGAACGCCCGAGAGCTAAATAATAATAATTGTGGCCAACGCCACCACTAGCGCCGACTATTTGGGTGGGTAGGCAACTATAGATGCCTTCGCCTGAATGGGTGTACGGTAGGCAATTCTACGCACGAACGACGACAATCAGGATGGGAAATCCCTACCACAGGAATTAGGATGGTGCAAGCTAGTTATGGGGAGGGGGTCTCTGTGGTCGAGTCGGTCTGGTGCAATGACTACAGAGCTCACAAAAACATAGGGACAGTACTTAAATTATAGCTTAAATCTACTGGGGACTTGAGATGCTGATGTACTGGACCGGAAGTGGACGGCGGATGCAGTAGGCAGACGTCGAACTGGACGACCTGGGCGGCCTCTCACACAACGTAATGTTGCTGGCGGACTTACGCGAGAAATCCGTCGAACGGAAGTGGACAGATGGAGACACCACGTTCGATGGTGATTATAATACAGAATGCCGAGTTTGACGGCAGCGATAATAAAATAAATAAACTTACGACTCAATAATTGATCAGTTCAAATTATATTTGATTGAGTGATGATACATAATATTGGTGCTCGCTTTATTAGCGGGTTACACAAAATGATACGCAGTAAAAAACGGATGATCGCTTTAATAGCAGATCACCAAGTTAAAAAGTAACGAAAAGAAAAGGGCGGCCGCAGCTAGTAGACAGTACGACGCCAATAATAATACGAAAAAGATAATAATAATAGTAATAATAATAGGGCGTTGGCCGCATAACAGATATCATAAAAATCAAAACAATAACATTGATAATCGCGAGACCAACGAACGAACAATGATTATAACACAAAAGACAAAACAAAGAGCATACATTAAATAACAATTACAATCATATAAAACACGTTACAGGACAGAGTGGTGGATAGAAGAGGAGTAAGATGTCGCCGCCGCGACTATTACTGTCGCGCGATAAGAAGCGATAATATTGATCGGCGCGAACAACCTCAATAATAATATTTCCTTGCAGCGTCTGGACGCCGCGTCAAGACTGTTTTCCAAACAGCGTCTATACGCCGCGACCACTACATTTTTTTTTACAAATATTCAATCAAAAAATGACCAAAACCAAATTTCTCGTTAATTTTTTTCTAAATTATTAAAAACTTTTACAAATCGAAATCAGGAATTAAGAAAGCGTCACCAATCAGTCGATCTTTGTAGGAATATAGACTGATCGCAATAAAAATGTAGTATAGGTACATGATACATTATCTTGTATAAACTTCATGTTGTAGAGTGTTAAGTCCTTGCATTAATATGAATACAATGATTAAACGTAAATCAATATAATGACATCTTGTAGTTACGAATTATAATGTCGTGTTTATTCTAGAGACGGCACAAAGTAAACTGAGTGTCGTGCGATGCACACACGTCGCGTATGGTAGGACAATCCCCCACCATATATATATTATATATATATATATATAAACATTATTTAATACGTAACATAATATAGTATAAAAAAATGCAAATCAATAAATATATGTCGATCATCAGTTTTAAAATTAAGAATATAGCTCACTTATTAGAAAAGGTTTTATTGGGCATTAAATTCCCAGCCCTAATTATATCTATTACTATTCTATGGTCTTTTACAAAAATATCTTATCGGCTATCGGCCCGCAGCCACCGCGCTGTCACAAAGGTCGATTACTGGTTAGGTTAAGGAAGTGATCACGGTTGTGACTGGTAAGGTGGGTAAAAACTCACAAATATGTTGTTATAGATACTTTTTTTCATGTGGGGGCCCCTTTTTAAAATTTCCCGGTAAACCAAAAATGGCCTATCCGCCCATGCAGTCAGAAACCCCAATATTCGGGCTCTAGTTGCGCCTATGCTTGGTGCACAATTAATCTGTAGGTTAATTATTTTCCACTATATAAAACAACATAATATATTAATAATATATATAATAATAAGACCACTGTTAGATAATAACGTTATATTGATATTTATAACTTGATGTTGGCTTAATTATAGATATAATACGATATATCATATTGTAAAGTAAACTAAACATAGGTATACATTTATTAAAAATACTTCGTGATTAGTATATAGGTACTTAGTATATTTTTTTTATATTCCTACACATAAGTTTAAATTTAGATCATATAATAATAATATAATAATTAATTAATTAATACAAAAAAATCATATTACCTTTTCATAACCCTATATCTTAAGGCTTTAAAAAATTATTCATAAAATACATTATAAAAACAACAGAAGTTAATATTCATCGCTATCATAGTTAAGCGGCATTAATCTGCGAGAATTACTAGGGACTTCATAGGATCCAGACAATGATGAAGACTGTGATGTATACGTATCTATAGGCGAAGAATTAATATAATCTGCAGTTGCTCTATAAAACGAAGCATTTTGCGGCTGTGCATTATTAGGTATAACCGAGTAATTGTTTTCCAACTGATTTACCAATGTCAGTGTTTTGATTTTTGCTTCGTTTATAGCTTGTCTTGATAATTTTTTAATGTTCATGGCAATGCTTTTAAAAAATATATCAACATCATCCTCTTCTTGGCTTATCTGTGATGCTAATAAGTTATTTTGCGCTTCAATTTTTGACAAAAGTTCATTTCTCTCTTTCGATCTTTTAGCTATTATCATCGACATCTTATCATTTCTAGATCGTTTTTTACCTTCAGGTAGTGGTGATGATGACTCAGATAAAATATGATCTTCCTGTTCCCTGTTTGTGATCTCAGATGTTTTCTCATTTTGATCATTAAACGAATCATTAATATTTTCTAGGGCATTTGATGTATTCTGTTGTTCAACTTCTGCAGGTGGTGCAATATTTGTAATAGAACTAAAATTATAATTTTTTGAAATAAATAAGTATATTATAAATTAAATATTATAATTTTAAATATGTAGTAGGTAACGTTATTATAATACATACTTTCTCTCATATTCAACCGTGTTTAAAAATGACAAGTAGGGCATTAAGGGCCATTTATTTCTTTCTAAATTGGCAGATCCCGTTGGCAATTTTTTTCTTAATTTAATGAAAGTGTCACGGATGTTTTTCCATCTCTTCTTTATATCTTCAACTATAAAATTTAAATATTTTTTTAATCAGGGTTTGCGCTAATGTGCAGTACAACTCAAATTGTGAAGTTCTAAAATAAAATGTGCAGTTCTAAAATGCTAATTGTGAAGTACGTACTGCTACCTATTTTAGCACTGTAAAACAATAACTAATATAGGTACCATGGATAATAGTATAATACTATACCAAGACGATTTGTATTTAAGTTATAATAATTCATAATAATCAAATTATATTATCATGACATTAAGATACAACCATGAACTAATGTGAATTGACCGATTATAATATGTTAAATGCATAGGATAGACCTTTTACATTGTTGAATTTCACGTTTGAAATTCCGGCTATTTTTATATTATTTGTACTCGATTTTCCAAGTAATATAACCAATTCATTATATTATTATAGATATATTATTATTAAACTATTATTACAAATTATTATTCGAAAATAGCGCCACGTGGAGCTTCACTGAATATAATGTATTTTATTGATTTTAACATTTTTGAATTTTGTTTGAAGTATAAAAATATTTATAGGTAAATATTTTGTTCCAGAGCTAGATTGCATTATAATGTAATGTATATTTATATTTATATTCATATTGTAAAAAAATTGAGCATGGTATTCTCTCATGACAAAATGTGTATACAAGCTAAGTTCAGGTACCTACTTGTGCAGTTCTATATTCTTAGCGCAAATCCTGTTTTTAATATTATTTTGAAATTATGATTTATAAAAAAATAGTCATTTTTACTTTTATTTTATTAAATCAAAATAATGGTTCCCCAAAAAGAATTAATTTATCAATATAATTATATAATAAAATTATAAATATAAATATATATAAATTATAAATATATAATATTATCAATACATTTTAATTGTATCACTTATATATTAATATTATTTATTTAAATATATTACTTACCAGTTCTATTGAGCTCTTCTGATAGACTTTTCCAGAGTGTATCTTTGAAAAATATATCCTTATTTTTGGGATGAGAACAATCGTATAAAACTTTGTTTTTTTGAACAAAATTTATCAAAATTTCGTCCTCCTCAGAGGAAAATATAAACTTTTTTGACATCTTGACGCTGGCGGTTGACGCGATGCACTGGTCGCGACCGGTGTTGACGCCAACCGCCGCGTCAAACGCGCCCGTACGACGCGTCAAACGCACATAGGAAAACGGACACATAGAAACGCATTAGACCCGAGACGCGACGTCCAGACGCTGCAAGGAAAACGTACCTTAACACAGTTCTCTTGTCTTAATAATACTTATAGTACTGTTTTATATATAATTAAGCATAAAACTTACCTTCGGGCAGTTTAAGCAGTTCTAGAAAATAAAAAAAGCGTGAGTATTGATATTTTATACATTCAATGGCGTTACTGGGTAAAGAACTTGGAGTGGAAAAATAATTTAATCACTAAAATCGAAACCATGATCTAATTGTTTGTTTTTACTCGTCTTAAAACTCATTAAAAACATTCGTAGATACCTAGATCGTCAAATATGAAATAACATTAAGTACATACGAGTTCGTTAAAAAAGGTGCCATAACTTGTGCCTTATATACTTAAATGTCATATAAATTAATTGTATTTGTTCGTTATTTTAGAAGATTTTGAGGTTTCTGTTTGAATACTGTTTGCATATCTTGGGTGGAGGGAATGATACCTCCACCCACTGCAACAAATTTTCTGGGAAGGGGAATGTGTTCACGTTTTCACTTCTTATAATTATAATTATAATTCTATTTCGTATTCGTATTTTAAAACATACATTTTATAATTTTTGGATATAACCTTTCAAAGATGTCATGTATATATAGTTTGAAAGATTTAGTATTCTTGATGGAAAATGTTATGTTTTAATTGAGTAACACAATAATGCTTTACATTATGTATCTAGAATATAGTTAAACAGTTTACTAGTTCTATAGGGTAGAAAATTGTACATAAATTGACCAGGACATCAAGTCATATTCCATTTCTATGTAGGTTGCTGTGGAAAATGTGAGAAGCATAGCGACGTGAGTAACAATGGGATCTTCGTACAGAAGAAACCTCTGCGTGATGGTAACACTAGACTTTCGGAATGCCTTCAACACTTTCAAACGGCCGGTAAATGGTAATAGATAGACTCTCATAAGGCAGAACACTTTTAACTTCTAAGTGGGTACCTTGTACGCATGGTCAGAGCCTGGCTTTTGAAAAGAGAATCACTCATAAGTCATAGGAGATGAAAAAGCGCTGATGCCTGTCACCTGTGATGTCCCCCCAAGGCTTACGTCCTAAGACTATTAACCCTGTGGAACGCAGCATACGATGACTTTCTAGATTCTAATGATAAACATCCCATCCGGGGCTCATCTGGTAAGTTTCAACTAACTTTCATACTTTATAACTGATATGATAAATTTAAAATTATTATTATTATTTATTACTATTATCTAGTTATATGTAGGTATTATAAATATTTGACGTTGTAAAGTAGTTATTTTCTTTTCTAATTTACGAACTATTTTTCAAATATCTCAAAATATGTATAGTCTTTCATTAAGTATTTACAAGTATTCATAATTTGAATATTAATAAATTATATTTTTTCACTATGCAAATGTCATATTTTTTTATAAAGTTATTAATAACATTTATTATAGTATACTTTTTTGTATTTAGTCTTAAAATTATAAAATAAGTTTTTACCTAAATAGTTAAAAGTCTAAAATGGTATAATGATACGGTAAAGATTGATCAATAACGAAAATAACTAAATAATTCTTTTTAATTAAAAATTATTATATATTTGTGTATAAATCACAACCCAATGAACTGTCACTATTATGCTAATTAGCACATTGTACTATCAAGGTACAAAGAATATAATATATCTCATATTTGTTTATGCAATTTAAGTGCAGTTAAGACATTAAACAATATTATATAAAAAATAATTATTTAATATAATTGTATTTATAAAACTAGTCATCCCTCACGAAAGTGTCATCAGTGGGTGGCTTCTTTCCTCAAATTTATGTATATCACCCTATTCTTTGTTTCCCTTATCGCACATATACTTATTATGTCTAAGATATAGATTGTATATTTTCTTCTCAAAAAAAAAAAAAAAAAGTCATCCCTTAATAGTCAAATTTTAACTTACTTAATGCTAACATTGCTCGGTCGGCACACAGTACAGGGTCATCTTTTTCTACACATTTCTCTAGTAAATAAAATTGTACTAAGTTTTAATTTAAGTTTTTTGTGTAAATATATGTTTTTAGGTACCGGCTGAATAACCCAATTTCACCAGGGATAAAATGAATAAACTTAAAATACTGCCCTATATTGGTGTATCTCAGTTCAAGTGCAAACGAGCATCGCTATAAGTAGCTTTGAGACCCAATTCGACAGAGATGGATGGGCAATCCCCCTGTGGTGTACCAGATAATTATTATAGGCACCACTAGCTGGGAATATTTTCAACGTGGTCTAACTACTCTCTAAATTTTTCTGATATCTCTTAATAGAATCTTTGAAATTCGTCAAAATCGTCTGGCATTTTTGAAGTGAAATTTCCTTTCACAGGCACCTACCTGATCGGCTGTAACGGTGAACAGCTATTTTAATAACTACAAAACGGTATTTTATTTAAACATTGTGTTAATATTGTAATTGTTGTGTCCGTTTGTAAGAATTGTAATATTATGGTTATTATTGTTTCTTCGTGTTTATAATAATAATTGTCAGCGATTTTACTTGGTAATAATAAAAAAAAAGAGTAACATCGAGCTATTTGTGGAAACAAATCACTGGCACAAATCCAAAATATGGCAGTACTAGGTAAAAAATGTAAGTATTCAACTAAATAAGTAAAAATCATTCTTAGTATATAGTCTTGAAGAAGCAGCATTTTATGATGGCAACGAAAGCGGAATTATCCAATCATCACAAATCGGAATTTCCAAGTAAACTTCACATCACCTGATTCAATTGAAGATTTGTTATCAACAAGAAAAGTTCAGAGTCCCAAAAATATTCAATCAAAATCCACATAATATCTTATTTTAATCATTAGCCATTCATCATAAGTCATTTATTTTTTACTGGTGTACCAATTTGGAAAACTGAAAAATAAATTAATAGGATTTGGAGAAATATAATTTTATTAATATTATAAATATACGAAGATAATTTGTTCTAACGAATTAAATCTAAATTGTGTTTTTTTTTTCATAGAAAAAAAATATATATTATTATGTTTTTCTAATAACTGAAATAGAAATATTCCTTGGAAACACACACTCTTTTTCAAATCTATAAGCAACAAACATAGACAGCAACATTACGATGTGCATTTATTTAACAAACAATAAATTAAACATTATTTTCATTTAATTAAAAAAAATCCCATGGTGAAGAAGCATGCGAGTCTGCAGGCATCGGGTCAGCTATACCAATTTTTTAAAATGTTATTTCTGCAATAAATGAGAACTCTATACATAAAAAAAAAATACTTATTTAGGGAGAAAAAATAAAATTCATGTGTGAAAGACCATCTGGTAGCCACCAATCTATAAAGTTTGAAAGAATAAGCTTAAGACACCATCCGTGTCTCAAGGACTCTATTGATGTAACATTTATATAAATCAGTGCCTATAGAAGTTACTGATTAGCGCTTTTGACATATAAATTCTTCAACTTCATAATATTAGAATAAATGAAATAATATATTATAGATACGATTATATAACGATGTGTAATAGAATTAAAATTGTAATAAAAAAAAAGTAATTATAGTTATAAAATGTTTTATTTTTACTATAAAAATTAAAAATAGACGTATATATTTACTCACTGCCAAAACATTTTTCAAGTTGTTCTATAATTGGATATTCGACAATAAGAAATCATATTAATTAATTTTTATAAAATGTATAATATACCTACACGTTCACTTGGTTTATGCGTAAATACAATAACGTACCATGTAGGTTAGTATTATCAATAATTTATCATTGATTATAAATACTATAGATAGCTCACTGCAGTACAAAATACGCTGCGCGCTGAATGGCGAGTAACGCTACGGGGCGCTCCGCTCGATATTTAGTTATGGCGTGTACCGCAATAATCGCTAGTATAGTTCATAGGAGTAGGGATTAGTCTTGAATTTTTCACTGTAGAGACAACGTACATATTGACCTATCTTGGTTTCAATTCTCGGAGCGTCTACTAAGACATTAGACAATACTCGTATAATACTATAATGTAAACTTGGTACCTATCTTGTCGTTACACTGGCGCACTACCAACGATTACAAAATAATAAATATTAAATACCTATCCATAATAATATAATCCTAGATGGGTGGCCTTATTTTTGGCCAAAATGTACCCTTTCCATTTCAGCTAGTAGTACAGTTTTCTTTACAATTTACAATTATAACAATAGAACTTAACAATTTAATTAAATATGGTTGTATCCAGAAATGTGATTCTTTGATGAAAATCATTACCTACAACTGCTTGAAAAAATAATAAAATAAAATGATTTAACTTTTGATTATTAACATTGATACTAAATATTAGTATTATTATTACCAAAGTAATTGTCAAAGTAAAAATTAATATTTTTTCAAGTCTACATAACTATTAACTACGCACTACGTTTTTATAGTCGTACAATACATTTTTGTATTTCATCAATATGGCTAAGTTGACAACGATGACAAATTTGGTGGTGGTGAAGATAGAGCCTGAGAGTAAATAATAGTCTCAGATCATTTATTATATATATATGATCGGAGGTCCTAGTCCAGAATATTTTTGAATAGTATCCAAGGCTACAATATTTTATTTCAAACTTAAATACAATTATCCAATAGATGTATATAAAAGTAATTAATTAAATAAATATAATCATGGAGTATGACCTGTAAATTGTAATAGGTATACCTCAATAATCTTAAACAATGTTATCTACAGTTCAATATTATTTATCATATTACTATATAAATTGTGTAAAATATGTAGGTGATATATCTTACTTTCACATGCCTCCTCTAAACATAAAATATTTTCGAACAAATTATTAGGGGTTTAACTGCATTAGTATAACATTTATCGACTACAATACCAGTTATTAATACTTACGTTTTTCTGAT